TCTTTTTAGGAACTTCAATGCATAAATGATATCACTACTACTGAGTTATGTAGTGTTTGTATAATTAAGTAAATGAAATATTTAGTAAAACAAAGCAATAGATTTTAGATTTTAAAACTAAATCTTTCGTTTTTTTAATAGCATTTGTGATGGTTTAAAATTCTGTATAAAAAATAAAAATTCAGAAAAAAAATTCAATCTCTCTTTTATTCTTCAGAGCTATTTATTTACTTATAAATGTACGTTAGTTTTTTTTAATAAAGTTTGAAAAAGTGGTAAAAGTTTAGTTAGAAGCCAAATTAAAATTAATAAAGTGTTTCGACATTTACAGATGTGATTAGAGAATGGTTGTTTCATACAAGGAAACTTAAAAAAATTGTGTACCAACAATTATTTCAAGCATAGTTTTCATCTATTTACGCATCTTGAAAACGCCGGGGTTTTAATAATCACTTCGTCTCTTTACGATTATGTAAAAAAGAAATGTTTCAAGCATTTTCATTCTACTTTTTTCTTACTTTTACATGTAAATTTGAACTTTATTTGAGTGAAACCTGCATTTATTTTTCCATTTATGCTACAAATTTCAGAAAAACAGGTATTACTAGAAATTTTTTATGTTAAACACTTATGGAATGCAATGCAACTAAATCAACCAAATAAAGCAGTTTTCGGAAATTATAGAGTTAAAATTTAACATTCGAGAGATTTTGCAATGTGTTTCCAACAATGACATTGAATAGATCCTTGTTACTAATAGCTTTTCCTTTTTGATTCTTGAGATATATTTTACTTCCGTGAGCTCTTTTTTGCTCTTAGCTCCATGTCTAAAAGATCCATAAAAGATTATGAACATTTCCTTTCTTCTAGTTCAGATGTGGAGGATCTAGATATTTGTCAGGTAGACCCTAATTAACCATAAATGTTTTCGGAAACATAGAGGAAAATTATTTAGAACAATATATTCCATTTTGAAGCGTAAAATATTGCTTTTAAAAGTAATATTGAGGATGAGGAAGTGGAAAACGAAATCCTACGCAATAAAAAATTCCGAATCAAATTATTATATAAAGTACCGGCAACTAGGGTGCACCATTCAGAAAACTCCTTTACAGTTGTCCCGTAGCGGATTGATCGTAAAAACACGGTTCCCAGTAGAACACCGAAGTGAAACATCACTGGCTGCTGTCAGTAAGTGGGTGGGTGACCACTTTGATCAGTTTGCGTAGAGACCGAAGGTGCGCGATATCGGTCCTCATTAAACTGTTCTACAGTAAAGTGCTCGATTTCACGCTCAAGTCGTCGGACTACCAAATCAGAGGAGCCATATCCTCAACAGAGGATAGAAATTGTGAAGGCATGTCTTCGAATCATCCTCAGGGATGTTTCACTGACTGTCGCCAATAGGCATAAATAAAGTACCTAACTTTAACGTAAAATCTATTTTTACCCTAAGGTATTATACCGCAATTTCTACCGCAATTTTTATTTAATTAGAGTGATTCAACGATTTTACAATAATTATTACTGTACAAATTACGGTATATTACATATTTTGTTCCGTAACATTGCCCTTAAAAATTGATTTTACGGTAAAATGAGCCGGCTCCCTGAGTGCCGGTACTTATAACCGTAATTTTCTTCACAATTTTTCACTGTACAATGCATAATGTAATGTTGTATAATGCAAAAAATATATATAATATACAATGCAGTATATAAATTTAATGAAAGAAAACACAGAATTGAAAATGTTCCTGTTCCAACCAAACATTAGCATGATGTTTTTTACTTAGATACAAATTTTAATATATTATGATTATAAAAATATTACTTCAAAAATATAACTATTGTGAAAATAAGCAGTTTCAAGTGTTTATTCCTTTAAGCATTCGCAATTTTCTCAGCCTATAGCGTAAATAATACTTTAAAAGCAATCTGTTACTCTGTCTCCCAAAATTATTCCAACCCATCCACCATGAAAAGTCCCGAACTAGAAAATCTCAGAAACTCATTTCCAACTGTAAGTACCACGTGCCAGATGTGATCTCACACTCACTTTAAACCACGCATCCCAGAAGCGCAGGGAGGCGGATCCTGCCATCAGTCCGGAGAAATGCTATCCGGCACATTCAACATCTTCAACTAGTACCGGACTTTATCTCAGCTTTGCAGCAACGTTTTGTCTCGCGTTCTCGGAAATTTCAACAACGTGGTGATTTACCGCATCTTTGTAGAGGCTTGTTTACCTTCAAAACGTCACTCAAGAATTTGAAAGTGTAAAATACGATGGAGAAAGCAGTTTAAGCGTGACTATTCAAATTTCATGCATGGATTAACGAAGTTTGAAACAAATAATTTAGTTTTTAGCGATTTGAAGGAATTGTTTTTTTTAGCCTCCACTCTTATCAGGGAAAGAATGTTGAAACTAACTATAAACATTTATTCTGAAAGATAAAGTTTTGTAAAATAAATTTATAAACATATTCGCATGTGTGCTTAAAATGAGAAAAACAAAGATGCTGATTTTTGTTATTTCTTTCGCCGGTATCTTTTATGGGATAACGGAAGTAAATACAGGTATTTATATTATTTTCTTATTAATTATTTACGAAACTAATTGTACATAACACATAATTAAAAATATGCTGAAATTCGTAATATATCAGACTGGTTCAATTTTTTGAACATTCTTTCAGCAAAATAATAAGACATCATCCTCAAATAAATTGTAAAAAGTTAAGAATATTTTCCTCTTATAAATTAAATATCTTTAATCAAGTACGTTTTATATATTTAGGTAAAGCGTTTCTTACATATCTGTTTCTTACATATCATAAAATGTTTCGAAAACATGATAGGAATGATGTTATACTCTCAGAAGCACAAAACGTTTATGTGATTTAAACGTGTTATGATAACATCCTAATAGAATATTAAAATAAATGTTTAAATAGTTTCCTTATTTTAACTTGATTAAAATTAATTTCTTGGAATCTTCTAATTCTTGACATGAAAATTAAATCTAATTGATAATTAATGGATGGTATTATTATGTGCCTACAATACATAGTGCCTACATATAGTGCCGTATTATGTGCCTACATAGCGGAAACTAAATTGAGTCTTCTTTTTAGGAACCGGGTTTCAAATCACAACCGAAGACTAAAATATAGTAATAAGTGTTTTGTTAAAATACCAGTATTATTTGAATTTTGTTAAGTGGCTGTTAAAATGATTTATTCATAAACTTATTTTGAATCTTTGCATTTTAATAGAATAATTTGACATTTAAAACAAGACGATAAAACTGATTTTGTACGTCAAAGTAAATAAAAAGTAAGTACTTTTAGAAAATTATATAAAATGTTTTATAGTGTTTGTAAAGTTAGTAGATATATCAACATTTGTAGGCCTATACAAAAAAAAATTCCAACTTTTTAAACGTATTTTGAATAATAAAATTCTAATTTAATGCATTAAATACGTATCTGTGCCCATTTTGGCTCTATGTGTATATTTAGTTAAAATTAACTAATAATTATTTCAGTGAAACTTTTTGTAAGATTATGTGAATATAAAAATACCATATTATAATTGCAAAAATAAAGGATTAGAGTAAATGTCTTATAAATGTCTTCTGTTCTAATAAATTCATAAATTATGCCTTGGTGTTGAAGCATTTGTGGTACAATAGAAACAGTTAACTGATATCGGTTTTAATCCCTTGGAGGTCACTAATGAGGATAGGCGCACTTTGACCTGCAGTTTTCTGACCTATTGTCAACCAGCAATTTTGGGACCAGTTTTTCCTTTTCCTTTACGTAGGGAAAAAAATCTACAAAATTGGTTAAATCACTCAGTGATAAAATTCATACACATTATAATATTGTATATTGATTTTCATAATAGTGTCACGTAGTCCACAATCATTTCCATTAAATTTTTTCAATTAAATTAAGCTTTTAACTTAATTTGTTTTTTTAAGGATGAAAAATATTTGAAATAACTTTTTGCTTTAAATTGGTATTTCTTTATTACTATTTCCAAACTGCAAAAATTTGCTTAGTCATTAAAAATTACTTTTTCTAATTTGAATAATATTAAGTAAGTACAAGTGCAGGGTTTTATTGTCTTCCAATGATAACGTCAGTGATCATTATTTGTTCTATTTAATAAAAAAGGTTTATTGAACTTATTTATTTTTTCTCTACGTCAGATAAATTCAATGAACAACGTTAACGTGTTAAAATGGATGACTATGTTACCAACCGAGCAATTCTAAAGTTGTCTGAAACCACTAATCGACTTTAGTTATACATTAGGTATAAGTTATTAATGAGTTTCAAAACTTGTCTCTAAGGAGTAAACAATTTAAAATCAATGGCAATTGAAATGGACGAAATAAACCATGTACTAAGAAACAAAATTTTTGAAGGAGAAGATTGTCTAGCCAATTGGTCTAGAAGAACCCTAAGCAATCGCCATAATATTATAGATGTCAATGATGCTTTACTAATGTTGGTAAAATGTCTTAATTGAAATAAAAAATAGCCAATTTACAAGAAAGCTGACTTACTGAAGAAAATACTCTACTTTTTGTTTCTGAATATAGTAAAAACTCGTCAAATCATAATCAGCCTCAATGCTTAACTAATCTTGGTAGTATGCATTAATTAAATTTTAAAAAAATATTTTATGTAATAAAAGCAAAGTTAATGTAGAAACGTTATTCGTTCATTTAGGAGAGCCATAGAAAATCGCAACGCAGATATGATGCTTGATTAATTTTGTTAATATGTACTACTGGTATCATAGTAATCGTTGCTGTTCTAATAAGAATTATACAATGTAATTTTCGCAGTATCAAAAAATATTCTTTCCAGTAGTAGCAAATGAAATGTATTAATTTTTTCAATAAATTAGAATTGAAAGATTTTTTTTCACCACTACTTATAAATATTTTAAACAATATATGAAATATCAGACTCTATAATCCTTATCAAGTTTTTATAGGAATTCAATTTGTTATTAAATTTTAAGCTTTAGTTTGATATCACTGTTAATGTAGTCAGCACAAAATTCAAATGTTCATACATACTAATGTAGGTATGAAGTATTATAGACACAGCATTTCATAATTATTCAAACTGCGCCAATACAGAACATTTTAATATCGATACTGTAAAAATAAGGGTCTTACAACCTTTCAAAAAGTATTTGTACCGGAGAAAACTACTTGACAGTGGTGAATTTGTACTATTTTGAGTTTTCTGTGACCGTATTGCTATGTGATAGTATTATGCTAAGTGATGTTAAATACAGTAATTCTCAATTCTGATGGGATTTCCTACAAAAAAGTGTTTTATATTCTTGATTTAATAACGTAAAGACACCAGGAAGTTCAACAAATTGAACAATGAATAAAAAACTTTTTAAATTATTCTATATTTATTATTGTGTCGGTATATGCCTTTTAGTTTTGTGCATGATTTCTTAATGTTGATCAGTACTGACTTATTGTTTGGTTTCTTTTTTTTGTTCACCGTGTAGGAAGATCGAGCTACCTAGTATATTAAACCGACAAAAAATATGGTCAAAAACAATATAATTCATTTAAAAAAATTCAGTAACGTAGTTAACTAGTAAATATCAGAGATTATTATTTTTTTAAATAACTAAAAGACATAACAACTTTGTCACCTAAGTTATGACATAGTTTTAAATTTAAAATATCCTTCCTGTTTAAATAAATATTTAATAATAGGTTCAATATTGCAGACCTTTTAATTTTTAATTTACAGCTTAGTGAAAAGTTTCCATTTCCTTTTAAAAATTCTAAGAATAATGATAAAAGAAAATATTTATCAAGCAATTGTAAATAATTGTTATAAAAATGTAATATTGAACTCTTTTGCAAGAAGAATTGTGAATTATTTCTATTCTGTTAATTTGGAAAAAAACAGTAATTTCATTTAATTAGAAGTCTACGTAGTTTAATCATATTGAAGCAAAAATTTCTTCTATTTGCGTGTTTCATGTGCATGATTCTTTTAGGGAGAAAAAATTGCATTTCAATGGGCAATCTGAATTTTCATCTCCTTATTTACATGAGAACTCATGCTTAATTTACAGTGATTTTGAAAACAAAATGTATCATTAAATATTTTGAGCATTACTACACGCATTACTTTTTCCGACAGAGAATATTAAGCATTTAGCACCACACATAATTAATATTGTGTATTGTTTTTCTTATTTTAAAAAAGTAAGAAAAAAAAGTTTTTGTAAAGTTCAAAGCAAAAAAACTTGGCTTAAAACACATTAGATGCAAAAATGTTTTTAAAAAATATCTCAAAACAAAATGAAAAGTATTTTACAGTATACATAAGATGAAATTTTACATTTAGCAGATAAAAAGGGATATTGATATTTCTAGTTTTAAAAAAGTTTTTTTTTAAAAAATCCTTGTTTTTTTAAAAAAACCAAGCTTTATTTTAAATTAATATAATTAAATGTAATTTTTAAACTATAAATCTTATTTTAAAGCAAATATTTAATCTTTTATTCAGTACTGTTCAGTTTTTCATATTTTTAAAATATATTTTAAATGTTTAGCTCTAATACCAATAATACATTAAATTAATTACAATAATAATATTTTAAAAATGCCTTTAACGCGTATGTTTGCATTATAATGTTTTATTTGTTTTAATTTTTTTTGCATCATAAAATGTAACTGGATTTTTTCTACGAATAGTTTTGTTCGTTGTATATGAAAATTAATCTTTTGATGCACCTTGAATGAATACCCTAAATATACTTAACCACTGGAAAAAAATGTTTTAGTGCCCTTATTTGCAGCCATCTAAATTTTTACTGATATATACCGTAAATAATATTTCTCATAAATTAGTGTTGCTTTACAGAACACAATTTATGCTCTGAAATTTTTGATTAAAAAAAATCTATAAAGTCTGTTCGAAACTTTTATACAAAAATGATAAATAATGATCGATTTAATATTTTTAAGAATTGGCAAGAGAGATATTATAAAAAAATAATTGCCTAATTAAAAGCAAACGTAGCGGATAAAACTGATGCAAAAGATTTGGATGTTCAAATCTTTATTTAAACTGAGAAGTCATAATACTCGTTTATCTGATAAAGCCAATTCAAACGCCAAAAAATGTATTTATTTTTAAATAATTTTACTGTAAAATTTGTTTAATCTAGTTAAATAAAGAAAAGAAAAAAAGAAATAAAGATACTTGCAGAGTATAAGCTGTTAATCAAGTGAGTTATAAAGGCTTAGGGCTCTCAAAAATCTAATGACAAGAAAAAAACAGAGTAATTGACGAATTTCTTTGAATTATACCATTATTAAAGTTAGTTATACACTGAACTGAAGTCTTGCAGTATTTTTACAAGAAACATAGCAGAAATAGCATGATGCATCAGGACGAGAAACCACGATTTTTACTAAATTTTTTCACATCTTTAACTTTAGATTATTGAATATATTTCATTTATATTAAGACTTTCTGCAAAGTATCAATTAAAAGTTTTGGAGGATTTCA